CTGCGACGCTGGAAGACGGAAGCCAGAACGATATCCGGGGCTACCCTGCGGCCCCGGCTTCTTAATCTGAAGCCCTCTTAATTCTCAGAGAGCGTTCCAAGAATCTGGGAAGCTGTACGAATCACTTGTGGCGTCCAAAACCCGAGGTAAGTGTGGCGTCCAGAACGCCATAGAGGCGTGCGGAGGCCTGCCGAAGATCTCTGAAGGACACTGAGAGAACATCCGAAAAACCTTCTGGAGAGCTGCCTGGCACCCGTATTGGGAAACGCTTAAAAAGGACTGCCAAAACACGCTCCTGGCTCAAGCAGCCTCCGCCGAGGCTTCTAGACCGCCGCCGAAACGAGCTGCGAAGCTACCCTGTGGCTCCGGCTTCCTTATTTTTTTTTGTATATGTGCAATCTGCCACACCGACGTGGCCACCCCGTGTGTGCCTTCAACTGCTGCACCCACGAGACCACGGGCGGATAATGACAGCGAGCGATGCGATGATAACGCCGAGCCTGCAAAATGCGAAAGCCACCTCGCCGCGATCTGGGTGGCTGTGCTCGTCCACGTACACATTGAAATCAGCCGACCGCGTCACCGGCCGACGCTGGCGGGATCCTTGCGTTCACTCCCCCTGGCGCTTGCCGGACGCTCGCAGCGAGGATGGGTAGACGAGAACATTTTTCTTTTCTGAACATGGACAGCGCTGACTGGTAGCTCTCTGTGCGTCAAATCCGACAAGACTTCCAGGATCTTGAGCTTGAGCGGCGGCGACGACGACGCCGCCTATGAAATCGGCGGCGGAGTCGTCCGCGCACAGAACGGCGGCGCGACCCCGCCGCACGCGCCACTGGCCCGCGCCTGCAAGCGATGCGTGGCGCCTCGCGCACGGCCCCCGGAAGGAGTTCGCGGTGCCGCAGCCAATCTCGCACATATCACATTGCAAGCACCTGGCTGAACTGCCCATGTTGCGAATAACATGCAGCAGACACAGCACGCCGATCACGTTGCGAAGAGCAAACGGTGTAGAACACAGGCGCACAGACGCAGACACAGACACAGACACAACGCGGTTACACATCTTTTTTTGTGGGGGGTGTCACCGTCGTTTTTCGTTGCCTTTTCTTCAATTGTTCTCCTTTTACGGTCCTCCGTTCGATCCGACGATGTATAGTAGACCACCATTCATCAAATGCGGTGGGGTCCTCCAATCGACGTGTTAATCGATAACACTTCGAATTGGGACTCCAAGTGCGAAAATCCCATCAATGACCTTCAACACGTGCGTAACAGTGTTCATCACTGTGTTGCATATCTGTACTTTCGTTTGCGAGGGGGCCTTGGCGGGGGGGGCCTAGCGGGGGGCACCTTGCGTGGGGCCCTTGCGTGGGGCCCCTGTTGGGCTGGCCGTGGCCGTCGCCATTGCTGCTTCACGCAATGAGCACACGGGGTCGGAATCAAAACTATAATCATTTCGAATCAAGAGAGCCTGGCCCGAATCGGAATCGGGATCCCCAAATCGAAATCGAAATCGAAATCGAATCGACCCCCGAATCGAAGTCGAATGGGAATCGAATTGGAACGGGACCACCAATCGGGAAGACACTATCGAAATCGCATCGGATCGGGACTGGGCCTGCTTTCCTTCTTCGTCGGGCACTTACCTGGGTGGGGCAAATGCGACCCCAAACGGACAAAAAAAAACCAGAAAAGTGAGGACGGATCGGAAGGAACTGGAGTAGTAGGAGGAGGAAGAGGAGGAGGAGGAGGAGGAGGAGGAGGAGGAGGAGGAGGAGGAGGAGGAGGAAGAAGAGGAACAGAATGAGGTGGAAGAGGAGTAGGGTGAGCAATAATAATAAAATTAATAATAACAATAATAATAGTAATAATATTATTATTAATATTAATAATATTAATAATAATAATAAGATTAAGAATAATAATATTAATAATACAAATGATAACACTACTAATGATAATACTAATACATATAGCAGTACTCGAAAAAGCACTGAGAAAACAATTTGGGGGGGGAGTAAGAATGGGAAAGACCGGACCGGAAAGGAGCCATAATGGGAAGAATTGGCATGGGCGGGATAACCAAAACATGAGGGAGCCAAGTTAGGAAAAGGGAGCCGGAATGGGAGGCAGGAGGCCAGAACACAACTTTCCAGGGTTCCACAAGTGCGGACCTGGGTCTACATAGTTGCGGACCTGAGTTGGCGTAGTCAAAGACCTACATTTCATAACTGCGGACATTGCTTTCAATAAGTGCGGACTTGGGTTGCCATCGTCGACGGCCTGTGTCTCCAGAGCTATGGACTTGAATTTGGAGACCTGAAGACGTGGTTCCCCTATTTGTATTGGGGGCAATCAAAAAAGGCGAGGGAATAAGAAGCGAAATGACTGCGCGGTTGAGAGGAGCTCTACTCCCTTTTCAACCTTCGTTGATAGTCAAAACTGTTCCAACGTATGGACACCTGTGCTCGGTGATGGAAACCCATGTGGTCACAATAGTGACAACACATCGATTGTTCAATTCACGGCGACAATTAGCAGGGACATCCGGCCGACAGAACCCGATCCGGTATTCCAACAATGTGTCCGTATCTACCATAGTCGGCTTCAACATCCATTACAAATATATCGGTATCCATATCCGATCCTACTGTTCACTACCAACCTGTGCTTCTATCTGCCAATCGGACTTCCATTCGATTCCAGCTGGGGTTGTAAAATTTTGCCCGGCTTCCGCCTAAAATATCCACCAACATCGATTCAAACATCCGAGGCTGTAAACATCGTGGCCGTGTTTGGTGATGTCGAAACAGAGTTTGATACCAAACAGATTCTGCATTAACCTGTATGAGAAAAAGAGAAGCCAGCCTTGGTGGAAACTAGAACCTTTGCTCCATATACGGAAGCCAAAACGTTTGCTTCGGTTTCGAAACTGGTGCTGCAACACATTTAACTAACGGAGCGCACCCGCGTTGACCTAGTCGTGGTCGGAATATACGAGTGTGTAATTGTGCTTGTCGTTGCTGTCAGACCATGCAGTCGCCGTGCTATCTCTTGTGCAAGAGCGCGCGAAGTATCACACAATTTCAAGTGGCTACCAAACACACGCACACTGTTTCCATCAAAAACATCAGAAACGGCACACTGTTACGGCTTCTGGTGCAATTATGCAGCCCCGAAGACACTTTTGGAGATCTGGTGCGGGTGCGGTGCTTGCGGGGGACAGGGGGCGCACGACGCGGGCCTGGGCACGCGAACGCGGACATGCGGACACAAGCGTATGAGCGGGCGTGCGCCTGGGGCCCGTCAAAACCCGGAACACTTCCCGAAAGGCATTCGTAACGCATAGCTTTCAGAGTTGTATGTGTTTCTGGGCTCGAACTACGCTTCTGTTACCAATGCCGCGCCAATTCAACGTTCACACGTGTACAATTTTAGCAATTGACGGGTTTCTGTGTTTTCTTTTTGGCATCTGTCCCCCCCATTTCCAGCTTCTACGGCAAGTCCATGTACTTTTTTTCGTATCAACATCCGTGGCCCTTGTGAGAAAGAGGCGCGAATACAACGCCAGCGGCCCTGGTCGCCGCGTGCCCCTCTCCCCTCCACCCCTTTAGTTCTATGTAAGAAAACGCCGAAGGGGTGCCGCTGCAGCGCCAAATATCTATCGAGCGAGAACGCTCCAGCAACCTGTGCTAAAAACAACGGCGCGCTCCAGCACCGGCTGTTTATCAGGCGCGAGCGCTCCAGCAATCCATTGCGTGCGCTGCAGTACTGCGTGTGTACCACGCGCGCACCTTCCAGCCGAGCGAGTGGAAAGCAAGGGGGCGCGGTCTGGCCATAAACCCTCACTGGCAGAACGTTCCACTGACTGTGCTCTTGCGTTCGAAGCCCTACACATGGCTAGTGGCATGGGCTCGCGATCTACTTGCAGTCTCTGTTGGTATAGTGCTTGACGATGCCACCCGCTTAATCGACTCAGTGATGGACTCCTAATCGTCCCACTCTGCAAGTTAGCAAGTGTTTGTGCCTGGCTGCGTAGGCACGTTTGGCCTCCCATGTCGTGTTTCCTGGCCGCTCCTGATGTCATGCGTTGAAGCTGGATGTTGTATGCTGCGCGTTGTCGCCTTTGTCCTCGCCGTACATATTCGTTGTGTGGCCTTCAGGTCCCGACTGGCCCTGCGCTGGGTCTTCTCCCGTGGTGTGTTTTACCTCAACCCGTTCCGGCCTGCAGGCGCTCGCTCCTCACGGCTGGCCCTGCGCACGGGGGCGCGCAAAGCGAACTGCGCCTGGATATCTGGACACAGCGTGAGACACGACATCCGCAGGGAATCGTCACGAAGATGCTTGCCAAGAGCCCATGCAGACACCGTGACTCGCCTGATCAGATGGTCACAGCGCGAGCTCTCCATGTGTTACTCCAGAGAGCGGCTGACTCAAGGAAGCACAGTGGCCATATGGTTTGGAACTTTTGCTTAGCGTGTCGCCGCGGCGGCCCTGACGCCACGCTATGCCTTGCGAGCGGATGGCGTATCCCTCCTCCCCGCGGGGCGAGTGGCTGGGAACAGCTGGGGCCGTTGACGCTGGATGGCCCAGAAGTGGCTAGAATGTCGCGCCGAAGCGCGGTGGGCCAAAACCGGCGGAGCGGCACTCTACCCACAAGTTCCAAGCCGTACTGCAGGAACATCTTTTAACCGATCCCGGTCCCCATCGGCGTGGCCTGGGCCCCACTGGCCGATTTATTCCCCTAGATTGTTGTCTAGGCTGTTATCTTCGGATTTCGAGGGGCACATCCCCAACTGGGGTGGTCGGTGGTGGGGATCGGAGTGGGGATGGCGATCGGATTCGGCTATAAAAACACTACGGAGCACTGCAGACAACGGCTGACTCGAGAAAGGGCAATGGTCCTAGCAAAGAGGCGGAGCGGAACCTCGTCGCGGCCGCGTTGGCGGGCGGCGTCTCGCGCTGCCTCGGCGGGAGCTCGGCCCCGCGCGGAGCCCTCAGCCCGCGCCCACGGCAGCTGGCTCGGCCCGAAGCGCCACGGCGGCGGCCGCCTGCGGCGTGGATCCCGCTGGGACGACGGCGGCCGCCGCAGGCGGTCCGTCGAGCGGCTGGGAGGCGACGGCTGCCTCGAGCCTGGCGTACTCCTCCAGCGCCTCCGCGTCGTGCGCGGTGACGGCGCTCGCGCCGAGGGCCTCGCCCAGCTCTGCCTGCGCCGCCGCCAGGTCGGCGTGCTCCTCGAATATCCTGTGGATGCGGTCGACACCTCCGATCGCCTTCTGCGTTCTCCTCAAGGTCTCCACACCACTGGCCAGGGCCTCCACCACGCCCTTCTGCATGCGGGCGAACTCGATGCGCTCGATGAGCTCCTCGAGCCGTGCCTCCTGCTGCTGGCAGTCCTGCAGTAGACCCTGGTGCTGCTTCTTCTGCTTCAGGGCGAGCATCGCGAAGTCCTTTCTCCTCTCCTGCACGAGCTTGCGGGCGAGCTCGTCGTCCTTCGCCACAGCAGCGGTCAGCCTCCGCAGGTGGCCTCGGAGCTGGTCGCGCTGGACTTGGAGGCGGCGGGGGGGGTCTGAACTGGATGGACCTCGAAAGAATCGGTTAAGAGGGGGGAATAAGGGCAACTCCGCTCAAATCGATCCTCCCCAAACCCCTCCCGGGGTCCACCTGGGGCAATTTTTACCCTGGATTCATGTCACGGTCCCAAGGCTCGCAAACGGCTCCGGGAGGCCGGACAGAGGCACCCTCGAGCCTGCCCGCCCTTCCTGCTGGCTGGAACCAATGCTGGGCCACCTCAGACCCCCAGCCGGCTCCAAGGCTGGACCTTCACATCCAGCAGCGCGCGGTCGTCGTCGTCCACGGAACTGGCCGCGGCGTCCGCGGCGCCGGCCTGTTGCCGCGGCGCGGCCTCGCCGCCGCACGCGGCGACCGCCGCAGTCAGCGCCGAGCCCATGGCGCCCGCCGGGGCACCTCCGCCAGCTCGGGGCCGCCTCGCCTCCGGGTGAGCGACGAGAAGAAACGGGTCTTGCGCGAGATGACGCGGTGGCTTACGCGGGCCGCCAGCGCGGGATGCTGCATTGGAAACGAGGGGACTTGCGCGCGACCTTACGCGGGCAGCTTGCGCGCGAAGGTCGGCGCAGTCGAGCCCGTTTTCTTGCGTCGCTCAGGTGCCGTGCGGCGCTGGAGCCGAGCTCTCGGGCGGCCTCGCCTGGCAGGCGCTCCGCGGCAAGAGCGCAGCGCGGACGGAGGGCGGCCTCCAGATGGTCCAAGAGGTCTCCAAGACGCACCACGGGTCTCCAAGAGGATCCACAGGAAACCAGAATCGTGGAAAGTCTTTGGATCCTCGAGTAGTTTTCGCATGCTCACCTTGTCGGACTCCCGACAACCGAGAACGACTGCGGAGGCCTCCAGTGTAGCACGAAGACTGCCCCAGAGACTCCTGACAGGGCCCCGGGTACGCCCTCGGGCTTAGCAATCGCCCCACGGGCTTGCCGAACGGGCTCAGCAATCGCCCCAAGAGGGCTCCAAGACGGCCCAAGGGGGCCCCCAGGGCGGGCTCCGAAAGACCAGGAGGCTCCGTCGAGGTCCCCGATCAGCCGCTCAGAGGCTTCCAGAAAGCTCCCAGGAGGCTTCCTCCTCGTCCTCCTCCTCCTCCTCCTCCTCCTCCTCCCCTCCTTCCTCCCCCCCAGTGTTCTCCAAGGCGTTGCACGACGGCTGGAGGAGCACATGGTTCAATTGCTTGGCCAAATGTTGGCCCAATTCTTAGTTACATCGACGTTTCCAACTATGCAGGGGGCGGCGGTGGTTTGCCGTCGACGTCTCCGATACAGACACAAATAGGTATCAACACACAAGCACATCTATTCACACGTCTAGAGTGAGAGAGAAAGAGAGAGAGAGAGAGATAGAGAAGAGAGAATAGAGAGAGAGAGAGAGAGATAGTGGCACATCGACAGACATAATTCTGACCATAAGGAGAGACACATCGACAGAGGTCGCGCACCCACCCGTCATGACATAATTTCTTTGTTCGTGCATACGATATGAATCATCCATCAGCGGTGCATATGAAGAAGGGCGCGCAGTTCGCGGTTCTCCCTGCATGAATCATGCTTTGTCGCGCTAGTGGTGATTGTCGTTTTGGGGCGGCAACGGTAGAATTCTTCGTCCCACGGTTCCAGCTCTCCCAAGATTAGTCGGTCGGCTGGAATGTCGCCTAGTCCAGAACCGAAGCTCGCATCAGTCGCGTTCCAGCACTTGATGGACAGAAGGGAAGAGAGGAATAAGGTGTTGCTGCCATACCTGCTATAGGGGCCAAGTAGGTTCAAGAGCAGGTAGTAAGCATCCCAACTCTCAACCCGCAACTCGAAGAACCGAACGACATCTTTGGCACCAACATAGGTGGTGGACACCAACATGCCGCCTTTATCGATGGTCCCGGAAATTTCTGCACCTGGGTTAGAATCTGGTCGCCCGGCAATAACCTTGTGTTGCATTTGAAGCGTAAGCTAAAAAGATGGACCTTTTCGGGCTTCCGAACCTGCTACCTCATGCTAATCGAGCGTTATTAGACGTCGAGCTACATGTGATGAGGCGTTTGCCAAATCCACCTGAATCCAGATCTTTCGTGACCATCATGCGGTGCATCAGTACGTCTGCTGGCAGCACCCCCTCTGCCGTCTTTTCTCGTACGGATGCCCGCCACTGTGAGCCCCTGACACGGTGACGTGTGATAGAATACTCAATGGTGTCGGGTAGGGCTTTTATATTTTTCTTAAGGTCCTCTCAGCTTGTAACGCCTGGCTTCGTGCATCGCTCTCCCCTCTCCCGAATTCCCTGGCGCTCTTCAAGGCGCCCCGGATGCCCATTAGAGCTCTCAAGACCGCCAAGGCAGATTACCAAAGCCACCAAGATGGCCCAACATTGCCTCAAGTGCGATCCAGCGATTACCAAGAGGGCATCAAACGGCACCCTTGGGACCCCAAGAGGCTCCCAAAACACCCCCAAGACGCTCACTAGAAGGGCGTCAGGAGGCCAAACACAATGATTACCCGCTGCTTTAGCTCGGGCATGTGCTCCTACAGGCGGATTTTGGAAGACAGATACTAACTAGTCATCATGTTGAAAACATTTCTTTCATCACATCCAGAGCTCCGCTCCTGTTTTCTCTAGACTCCCGCGCAGGTCCTGGGACCGCACTACCAACAATCGTTATGCTCAACATATATACACTCTCACTCATACTGTCATCGCTCTCATGCCCCCTGTAGTTTCGCCACCATCGCACGGCACTCAATCAACCATCACCATCTTCATTGTTATCCTCACCGACATGTTCACAATCATCGATCTCATCCTCACGACCCCCAGCCTCTGCTTGTTCGACCTCATTGTCAGCACATTCACCCTGGCTTTTGCTTTCATTCTCATTGCCAGCTTCATCCTCGCTCTCGCCCCGGCCCGTCCAATCCGACTGACAACATATACGTGCACTGGGCATCCCGCTTTCCCGAAGGGAGGCTCGAATCCAAGTGGCTGTTCGCACACTGCATGATGGCCGCGAACCGAACCGAGAACCGAGAACCGGGCCTGGAACCGAACCGGCTTGCCAAACCGAACTGGCCGAATCGAACGGGCCCGCGGTACGAACCGAACCCGCCGAACCGACCCGGCCGAACCGAACTGGCCGAACCGAACTGGCCAACCAAGCCAACCGAACCGGTCGAACCGAACCGGCGAAACCGAACCGGACGAACCGAACCAGGGGGTCCGATACCAGTTTGGGGCGCCCCAAACGCAACCCACAGCAACTGCAGTCCAAATGACGTCATCAGAACCAGCTCGGACACGAAATCGATTTTTCGCGTTCCGAAAGATTGATTGTCGGGCCCCCCCGCCCCCCCCCGGCCAAGACTCCCCTCAAACGGCCCCGGAATCCTGAGCACGCCGGAATCGATTTTTCGAGCTCGAAAAAATCGCTTTCCCGGGGCCAGTGTCATGGAGGGCGCCAAACCGCTCTGGACTTTATGTTTCGAGGTCTCCCCAAGTAAAACTTAGTCGTACACTGAACCTTGTTGAGAAAGAGAGAGATACTATATATGTGTGTATGTATGTATGTATGTATGTATGTATGTATGTATGTATGTATATATATGTATAGTTATCTTGCCACCTTTCTCACGCCATGGCCACGCCTCGCAGAGGTCAATCTATGTGCGAGTGGAAAGGCTACTCGCTGGCAGGGAAGACACTCGCGCACAAAGACAGAGGATGAATTCATACGTTAGTCAACTCCGCTGTCGAATCGAAGCATGGGCGGGCAGAAACATTTGCGACAGTGCATATAAGGAACAAGGGAGGGAGCTTGAGCGAGACAGTTACGGAAAACACATAGGCAATATTCTACTTGCCACCACGAAAACCGACCATTTTCAGTTGAAAAGGGGTCGGTTTCTGTCTGAGCCCGCGTAACGAGATTCGGCCAACTTCGTTCGAGAGGGGCCCCAAGATCAATGTACAAGTACGGGCAGATCTCTTGCCACCTTTCTCACGCCATGGCCACGCCTCGCAGAGGTCAATCTATGTGCGAGTGGAAAGGCTACTCGCTGGCAGGGAAGACACCCGCGCACAAAGACAGAGGATGAATTCATACGTTAGTCAACTCCAAAGTGAGACCTCTCCAAAGTCTAGACATGGCACGCCGTTCAGATCAATCTCTCTCTTAGGTTACACACAGCACGAGCAATCATGGAAGCACGATACTGACTGACAAGACGCCTGCACAAGGGTCGAGGATAAGGCTCAGCCGTCTTAGTAAGCCATCTACCATCGGGACCCTTACCATGCAACGCAACATGCCTTCTACCAGTGCGATCACACATATGTTCATTCCTAGCACTATGACACACGCGCGCTGCCGCACTCAAGCCAAAATGAGCATACATGATTCTCGTTCGCTTCCGCCAGGGAGCGCCATCCATGCAGAAATCTGTCACAGTCTCTCTCACCCCAGGCCGCTGGCCGGCGGCCTGCATGTAGGGCGCCAGCCACAGGCGGGACGACGCGGGGTTCTCCAACGCCGCCGGCACGCCCCGCTCGAGGCAGCACAGGAGGGCCTTGGCGGAGAAGCGGCAGAGCTCGTTCGCCACTTCCACCTTCACCCTGTCGCCCTCCGACAGCCCGTCCAGGCCCAGCGGCTGCTCATCCGAGCGCAGCCGAGGCGGCCCGGCCCCGGAGTCCCGCGCCCGCGAGAAGGTCGCGCAGGGCGTTCCCAGCCAGATCGCCGTACAGCACCCCGAGCGGATCCAGCCAAGGATGAGGCGCTGAGCTGCTCTGCGGCTGAGATCGGGTGAGCTGTGGAAGCCGACGTCGATCTCGAAGATGGGCAGGCCCCAGGGCGCCTGCTGCCTCCAACAGTGGCTGAGGCGCCCGCTGCCCGCGAAGATCTCCAGCGCGAAGCCCTTGGCCCCGGCTAGCCGCGGTATGTCCGCGAGAGGCACGCGCCGAGGGTGCGCTCGGCCTCCAGCGCCGCGTTGAGCTCCTCCGCCGTCAGCGACTGCAGCACCTGGTTGACGCGCCCTCCTTTCTCGTACCGCTTCACGGAGCGCTGGCTGTGCCACCTGCCTCTGCGCATGAGGTCCTCCGAGCTGCGGAACTGCGTGAGCGCCTCGTGGGACGCGCCGCCGTGCCGGAGCTGGTATAGCGTGGGCGCGGCGAGGCTGGGAAACCGCCGCCTGGCCGCCGCCCTCAGGGCCTCCTGCCGCTGGGCCGCGCTCAGCGGGAAGAGAGGCTTCCCGAACGGCACGCTCTTGAGCAGCCACTCCAGCAGCGGCAGCACCAGGTCGAACTCGGGGTTGTCGAACACCATGCACTCGTCCTGCGCCCCCACCTTCGAGGTCACTCCTCTCTCTTGGGGGTGGAGCACCACTGACCACTTGCGGCGGCTGCGGCCTCCGCCTCGCACCGGAGCCGCCAGGCAGCCGCCCGCCAACCTCAGCGTCTCCGCCGGCCTCAGCAGCAGCACGAACGCCACAAGGGTGGCCCCTGCGGCCGCCAGCTGCCCCTGCGCGTGCATCTCCTTCACCAAGGCAGCAACCACAGGCCACGGCAGCGGCAGGCGCGAGCTGGACGGGTTGTGACGCCTCCAGCCCTGGAGCGCCCGCCGCGAGCGTCGCAGCTCCAGCGCCCCACGGGGCACCCCTGGGAGCAGGTGGCCCAGCGCCGCCAGCATCTTCGTGCCGGTCGCCAGGGGCTCGCCCTCGAAGAACTGCTCGTTCAGCCACTCCACCAGCGCCGCGTCGGCCTTGGCTGGAGTCTCCCAGCTGAGACCCTTCTCCGAGGCCCAGCGCGTGAAACAGCCGAAGCGGTGGCGGTAGTCCTTCTGCGTCGAGGGCCCCACTGCCTCGTCCTCCAGCACCGTCAGCGCGCGCGCCCCCGGGGGCGCCCCCCGCTCCAGCTGCGTCAGCCCGGGCCCCAGCAGCGCCCGCCGCCTGCCGTCGGCGGCAACCTCGCGGCTGGCGCCCGCGAGCTGGTGCGCGGCCGAGCTTGCGCCAGCGGCCCTGCTTGCGGCCTGCCGGCGGCGCCGCCTCGCCTCCCCCAGGCTCCCGTTCGCCTTCCTCTTCACCCCCGCTCGGATCGCTGTGGTGAGCGAGCCCAGGCGGCGGCCGGAAGACGAAGTTATCGGTCCCCTCGCAGCCGATGAAGCCGCCGGTGACGGGATCCACGAACTCGAAGCCGCTGAGGTCGTGGCGAGCGAGGCGCTCTCGAGCCGTCGATCCGTCGGCCCGCGGCTCAGCATGCCGGGCAGCCGCGGCGCTGCGCTCCTCAGAGCCCCGCGAGGCGCCGTCCGCCGCGTTCCGCTCGGAGCAGATCCAGCGAACGTGAACGACGGCAAAGCTGGCCAGGCACAGGGCAGCCCACTGCCTAAGGCAGCGCCCCATGGCCCGGCTCGAGCTCCGCCCCTTTGCCACACCGAGCACAACGGCCATGGCATCACTGAGAACGAGGTGTCTGCGTCCTATAGCACGGCTGTCCCGAAGAATGTGACGAAGGGCCCACACGCCGGCCCGAGCTTCCAAGATCACCCGGTCCCCCGAGACGTTCCAAGGCCTACTAGCCACGCGCCTCCAGCACCCGCCCCAGACAGACCGGGGCACCGCAGGCACCCCTCGAAGATCACCTTGCTCTTGTCCCCAGACTCCCTCCTCGTCACGTGGTCGTGCCCGTTGCTCCCCCGACTTTGTGAACCTCCACCTATCAGAGTACTGCCCAGCATACTTGATCGCTCCGAGCTCGCATCGCCGCTCCATCACCCCGTACCCCCACTCGCTCACGTCGAACACGGTGACCTTGGGGCTCCACTCCATGTTGAGCTCTCTCGAGGCCAGGGGCACCAGGCGACTTATCCACTCCAGCTCCTGCTTTACTGTGTCCCAGAGAGGCGCAACCCGAACAGGATGACGATCGATAAAAGCGTAGACAGTTTGAAGTACAGAAAGGATGGGTCGTCGGAGCAAGACGCGGAACGTGATGTGACCAACGATGCTTCTCAACTGGGCGCTGCTCGCACGACCCCGTCGCAGTAACTCTCGCAAGCCAAGGATGAGGCGCCAGGCGGTGCGAGGGGCGACGCCTACGGCCGGCCGCCACTCATCGAAGTGCCAGCCGAGCGTGTCCCCCCCGCGGCTGCAGGTCACCAGGTGCACGCCAAGCCCGTCGGCCTTCAGCGCCTCGCCGACCTCGGTGGCCATGCGGCGCCCCTCCTCGCCGTCGGTGCCCAGCGCCGCGAAATTGTCCACGTACTCGGTGTGCACCGGCCCTCGGGCAGCGGAAGGCGCTGGCCTCCCGTCCACCAGCCGGTTGCCCCCCTCAACGCCCGCGACCCCCTCGGCCACGGCCTCGTGGAGGGCCTGGCAGACGTACAGGGCGCCCTTGAAGCCCATGGGTAGCGCACTCAGCACGGGCACCAGCTTCTCCCCAGGATGCAGCCGCACTCCGCCAAGCCAGCCCACGCCGACGGCGCCAGCGCAGACAGGCTCCATCCCGAAGTACTCCCGCAGCTCCTCGGGGAGGCCGATGGAGTAGAAGGCGACCTCGATGTCGACTCCCGAGACGTGCACCGGCTCGTTCCCCTCGAACTCTAGCCGACCAAAACTGTCTCCAGTAGCCAAGCTCACTCCAGGGGCGTCCTTGAACCAGCAATTGCTCGCGCGGCAATCCAGTATAAGACGCTGCTCGCCCCCCTTCTTCCAGACACAAAATGTGCCCACACTCTTTTTGCAGCTGCGCCGATATTCGACGATGCCCGGCTCGTGCAGCATCCGCAGGAGCTTAGCATATACTCCTTCGGCTTCTGTCTGATCAGCGGGTCGTTGTAGGCGCGCCGCAGCTGCTGTCGCTCCTCCTCTGCTTCGCCCTCTTCGGACTTCCGAACCAAACTCTTGAGAACCTCGAGAACCTTCACGCCCGCCGAGCCGCCAACATCCTGGATGCGAGCAGGTCGGCGCTGGAGACTGGGCAAGGCCACCCGCTCCACCTCGAGGGGCGCAACAGCTCCGGCGGAACCGCCGTAGCTCTGCTTCGACAGGAGCTCCTCCAGGGCTCCCTGTCCATGCAAGTCGGCCGGGGGCGTACCGAGGTCGCGATGCGCCTGCTCGATCCGCTCCAGGCACGCCAACTGCGCCGCGCTGGGCTGCAAATTGGAGCCGCTCGGGTGGTTTGACCCCCCGTACAGCTCATTGAGGGTGGCGATGGTCCCGGAGACTCCGTCCTCATGATGACGCCTCCGATGTCCTCGCCGGCGGACTGCATGGCTCAAGAACTTGCTCCCACCACCCGCTTCCCCGACCAGCTCAGACAATGGCGATCGGCTCGAAGGCAGAGGGAGCGGAAGAAGTTCACGGGCAACTCGTCGTCGCTCGTGAGGAAGACTGCAAAACTGTGGAGGCTGGCCTCCGCCCCTGCCGCTGGCGGCGCCCGCTGGCGGCCGGGGCCGGGGGGCGGGAACTCCCGCCCGATCACTCCCCATCCTTCTTCTTGTTCAGGGCCCGGCGCTCTTCCCGCGCCTTCCGCACCTGCTTCATGATGTTCGCATCCCTCTCGACCTCGCGCGATACGAAGTCCATCAACTCCGGCGCCAGCATGACGGCCCCAGCGTCCCGGTGCTGACCAGTGAACACCAGGGCCTCGTCGAGCAAGCCGCCGCCCTTGCCAGCGCCCTTCTTGCCCTTGTTGTTGCTCGTCAGCTTGGCGACCCGCTCCTGCTCGTACACGTGCTCCACCAGCTGGGCCTGCCAGAACAGGCCCTCGAAGCTCGCGAGGTTGCAGAGCTCCAGGTGGTCGTAGGTGGCCGCGTCCTCCACCGCCTTGAGGCACATGCGGTGCGCCTCCGCGCCCCAGTCGCCCGTCTCGAGCCCGTGGAGCATGATGAAGTACCTGTGGTGATCCATCGGCCCGCCCCCTCGGCGGTTCAGGAACAGCATGCACCACTCGGCCGTCCTCGGGCCTACCACGGGCCAGTCGGCGAAGTCCGTCGCGCTGGACTTCCCGACAATGTCCCGCCCCTGGCTTCGCAGCCGCCCCGCGTCGCCGAGGTCCACGCCCAGGATCCTCGCGTCGCCGGCGGCCTCGGCTCCGACCCAGCCCACCACCTCGCATCGCTTCAGCTGACGAAGGCAGAGGGACGACCCACGAGGCGTGGTGGCGAGCGCTCTCTCTCCAAGCACCACGGCGCCAGCGGGCAGCGCCAGCTCCTCGCCGCGCCGATGACGCTCGGTCGTCTCCACCACCACCCACACCGCGGTCTGGTCGCCTCCCCCAGCGGCACCGCCTCCAGCACCAGCACCTGCTCCTCCCCCTCCTGCTGGGGCGCCGACCCGCCGAGGTCCCCCCGCGGCGGCGGCAGCCCCCGCAGCAGCGGCGGCGGGCGCCGCACCCGCGGCGGCCCCCCCTGCCGGAGCGGCCGGGGGGCCCGCGGCGCCGGCGCCCTGAGCACAAGGCAAGCGCTCGATGTAGCCCCCTGGCGGCGCCACGGTGGGGTCGCGCCCGGCGGCCGTCTCGCGAGCCCGATGCTCCGTCCGCTCCGTCGCTTTCAACCTGATCCGCGGCGTCGTCGAGCTCCTGCTGGGACGGCGCCGCGCGAAACCTGTGCACGTTGCCTCGCGCCAGCCCCGGCGGGGGCGGCCAGCGCGCCTCAGCGCACCTCGCCGCCGAGATGTTCTGCTCCTCCAAATCGTACTTCTCCGGGTAGCAATCCCCGTCCGGGGTCAGGATGTAGTCAGTCGCCCAAGACACCCTTGAGCTCGCGACGCGCCGCCTCTGGTGCCACAGCTCGCCCTCCCCATTGTAGAGGACGTACGCCCACGCGCAGCTCGGGGCCTCCGGCTTGCTCAGCACCGCTGGCATCCTTCGCGGCGCGACGGCGGCAGCAGCAGCCCTGCGCTGCGCCTCGCAGCGCCTCCGCGCCGCAGGCGCCCGCCAGGCCTCCGAGCGCGAGCAGCCCCGCGGCCCAGCTCCACGGCAGCCCGAACTCGAGCTGCACCTCCGGCGCCGCCTGCAGCGGCCGGGGCGCGCCCGGACACGCCGGGCAGCTCGGGCAGGCTGGGATGCTTGGGCACCGACAGCTGCAGTCGGGGCAGTGGTGCTCAGGGCACCGAGGGCAGCTCGACAGGTAGGTTTGCGTCAGCCCTGCCGCCAGCCCAGCCAGGTCGCTCCAGATCCACTGCGAGGGCGAACAGAAGGGGGATGTGTGTGTGTGTGTGTGCGTGTGTGTGTGTGTGTGTGTGTGTGTGTGTGTGTGTGTGTGTGTGTGTGTGTGTGTGTGTGCGTGCGTGCGTGCGTGCGTGCGTGCGTGCGTGCGTGCGTGCGTGTGAGTGTGTGCGTGTGTGGGGGTCGGTATCGCGTTTCCCCAGCCCCCGGCGCCGGTTCGGGGGTTCGATGCCAGTTTGGGGGCCCCGAACGCAACCCGCAACCCAAATGACGTCATCAGACCACGCTCGGATACGGAATCGATTTTTCGCGCTCCGAAGAATTGTTTTTTCGGTCCCTTCCGAACCCACCCGGGCCAATCCCCCCCGAGCGGCACCCGAATCCTGAGCGCGCCAGAATCGATTTGTCGAGCTCCGAAAATCGTTTTTTTTTTTTTTTTTTTTTTTTTTTTTTTTTTTTTTTTTTTTTTTTTTTTTTTTTTTTTTTTTTTTTTTTTTTTTTTTTTTTTTTTGATATTTTTTTTTTTGACAGGGCCTCGGGATGAATGCCCACCAGGGCACGAGGCGCTAGCTCCCGCAAACAAACACCTCTTCTGTACGAGACTGCCGCCGCTGGTTGCCTCCTTTGAGGTCCGCAGCAGCAGTCTGTCGGCGTCCGCGGGTGCGGCTGGGGAGCAGAAAGCTGGCAGCCGCAGCGCGAGCCTCTACGAGGCGGAGCGCTTCCGAGACACACGACAAAACGCAGCATCACGGGAACCCCTCCAGAGGGGCCTCGTCTGCACATAACATAAAAACGCCCTGTAAGTGTAAGATCCTCGCGAAGAGAGGGCAGGCCCAGGCAGCCTGGCCCCTGCGACGCCACGACCCGAGCCGCAGTCGGGGCCGTCCAATGACCGCCCCCGTGCTCGGCTAGGAATTCACCGCAGACGAGCGTGCCATGCGCCTTCCCCCAGAGCGGGGTGCCTGACGCGCGTGCCGAGCGGCCACGAGTGCACGCGCACGACGGACGCTCACGAAACACGAGATAAATTGAAAAAAAATCGACCGCCCACACAAGGACGACGAGACCCGCCATCCCTGGTGCAGAGAGCGCCAGGACGACCGCAAGCCTCGCCCCATATGTGGGGTATATACGAAAATGCCACCTTCACAGGGGGCATACTAGTGGCCTGGGGCCACACAGGAAGCATAAAGAAACATGAAACTCAGAAAACGACCGCCCACGCAAGGACGACGAGGCCCGACGCCCCTGGAGCAGAGAGCGCCAGGACGGCGTCTGGCCTCGCCCCAGATGTGGGGTGAAGCACGGATGCCTGCCAAAAGGGCCAGTCGCATCGGGCCGTGTAGAAGAAGACACAAGTGAAACAAAAACAAAATACGAGCCTGCCGATTGGCCACCCGCATCAGTCCGAGCTATCAGACTCCTCCCCGCGGTGCGGCAGAACGCTCACCATCTCTCCCACAGGGGAGGTGTGTGAGGTGGCGAACACCCTGCGGACCCTTGACGCCTGTGCGTCCTTCACCACGTCTGAGGGTCCTCTGTAACTCGGAAAGATCTTCTTGCCAATCCTGGCCAGGTTCTGGGCGCCTTTACGTGTGGCAGGCACGCATTGGGACATTGAACTTCTCGGGGCGACCGTGGCCGTGCGGCCGCACGTCGCACAAAAATAAAGTGAGTGCCGCGGCCAGAAGCGGAGGGCATTGAGACTCGTGAAGCTGCTGCCCGCCCAGCATCACCCCCCCTCCCACCGACCGAAACTCATCGATAGCCGACTCCGTGGACCCTGGGTCCGCAGGCAGGTCGACCGAGCACTCTGTCGCGCATGCCTCCAGAATACCTTTCTGGTTAACAATGCAGTGGCACAGGCTGCACACATATTTATGAGATTGCTGGCGCACAAAACAATGTTGGCTCTCTAGCATGGCCTTTGTAAGGGCCGCCTCCGACGAGGCTGTGCTGGGGCTGACTCGGGCCTCTCGGGGGCAGTTGGAGAGGTCCAGACGAGGCCACTGAGGAAGGATTTGGGCCGCCAATTTGCAAACCGCTGTAGCGACCCTGATGCAAAACGCCAAAGCCTCCTGCTCCTCTTCCGTGGCCGCAGGGTGGAGATTGGCCCCTGCTTTAACCGCCAGATCCGCCGCGTGGTTGCCCAAGCGGCGCCACCTCTCATCTGGCTCAATTCCCTCTTCGTGAGGGTCGAGGTGAACCTTCACCTTCGACACAGCACTGAACAACGGGGCCCCGAGGTTAATTACTCCGACGGAAGGACCCCACATGATAATCTCTTTAGCTTGCATGGGGGTATCCTCCTGCCCCTTCCCTTCTCCCACCTAGTCTTGCCTCCTCGTTCTCCTCCTGTCTGCTCCTCCTCCTGCCTCGACCCCTGCCTCTTCCTCCTCTTCTTGCCTCCTCCACCTCCTCCCCCTCCCCCTCGTTATGCTTCCTCCCCCCTATTCCCCCTGCCCCTCCTGCCTCCTGCCTCCTCCTCCTGCTCTCCCTCTCCCTTCTCCTCCTCCTCCTCCTCCTCATCCCCTGTCCTCCTCCTCTCCCTCTCCCTCATCCGCTTCCTCCTCCTCCTCCTCCTCCTCCTCCTCCTCCTCCTCCTCGTTTCCATATTCCTCCCCCCTCCTCCCCCCCCTCCTCCTCCTCCTCCTCCTCCTCCTCCTCCTCCTCCTCCTCCTGCCTCCTCCTTAGGCCTCCTGCCCCCTCCTGGGGCCTCCTGGGGCCTCTTGGGGCCTCCTGGAGCCTTCTGGGCCTTCCGGGACCTACTGGGGCCTCCTCGGGCATTCCTCCTCCTCCTTTTCCTCCTCGTCCTTCCTCCCCTCAGCCTCTTCCTCTTCCTGCTTTCCTGTCTCGTCCTGCATCATCCCTCCTCCTTTTCCTGGCAATCCTCCTCCTCCTCGTCCTCGTGCGGAACACGACCCAGAGGAAGCGCACGACGTGCGTCCCAGCCGATACGCGCCGGAGGACGACCCAGAGGAAGCGCGCGCCGGAGGATGACCCGGAGGAACCACGTGAGCTGCGGGACCCATAGGAAGGCTCCCGCCTGACGCGTCCTCACAATTCACTCACAGACGAGGGTCCCGCTTGATACTTCTTCCAAATTCACACCTGAGGAGCCCAAAAGTGACGACAGGTTACAAGAATCCGATGACCCGCTCGGATTAGTAACATGATCTGCGGGCCCCATAGGGAGGGGGCTCCCGCCTGAGACTTGCTCGCAATTCACTCACAAACGAAGCTCCCGCCTGATACTTCCTCCAAATTCAGACCTGAGGAGCCCAAGAGTGACGACAGTTTCAGGAATCCGATGACCCGCTTGGATTAATAACATGATCTGCGGGCCCCATAGGGAGGGGGTTCCCGCTTGAGACTTCCTCACAATTCACTCACAGACGAGGTTCCCGCTTGATACTTCCTCCAAATTCAGACCTGAGGATCCCAAAAGTGATGACAATTACAAGAATCCGATGACCCGCTCGGATTAATAACATGATCTGCGGGCCCCATAGGGAGGGGGCTCCCGCCTGAGACTTCCTCACAATTCACTCACAGACGAGGCTCCCGCTTGATACTTCCTCCAAATTCAGACCTGAGGAGCCCAAAAGTGACGACAGTTTCAGGAATCCGATGACCCGCTCGGATTAATAACATGATCTGCGGGCCCCATAGGGAGGGGGCTCCCGCCTGAGACTTCCTCACAATTCACTCACAGACGAGGCTCCCGCTTGATACTTCCTCCAAATTCAGACCCGAAGAGCCCAACAGTGACGACAGTTACAAGAATCCGGTGACCCGTTCGGATTAATAACATGATCTGCGGGCCCCATAGGGAGGGGGCTCCCGCCTGACGCGTCCTCACAATTCACTCACAGACGAGGCTCCCGCTTGATACTTCCTCCAAATTCAAACCTGAGGAACCCCAAAGTGACGACAGTTACAAAAATCCGATGACCCGCTCGGATTAATAACATGATCTGCGGGCCCCATAGGGAGGGGGCTCCCGCCTGAGACTTCCTTGCAATTCACTCACAGACGAGGCTCCCGCTTGATACTTCCTCCAAATTTATACCTGAGGAGCCCAAAAGTTACGACAGTTTCAAGAATCCGATGACCCGCTCGGATTAATAACATGATCTGCGGGCCTCATAGGGAGGGGGCTCCCGCCTGAGACTTCCTCGCAATTCACTCACAGACGAGGCTCCCGCTTGATACTTCCTCCAAATTCAGACCTGAGGAGCCCAAAAGTAACGACAGTTACAGGAATCCGATGACCCGCTCGGATTAGTAACATGATCTGCGGGCCCCATAGGGAGGGGGCTCCCGCCTGAGACTTCCTCACAATTCACTCACAGACGAGGCTCCCTCTTGGTGGATGATGGTGATGGGATGATGACGACGGTGTTTGATGATGATATATGATTGATGATGATGATCATGGTGATGGTGGTGATGATGACGACGTGATGATGATGGTGGTGATGATGAGTGCTGATGGTGAGTGATCGTGCGATTCTGATGGTAAATGGTGGTGATGATGATGGGGACGAAGTGGTGAGTCAGCGAGTAGTGATGATGATGATGATGATGATGATGATCGTTCGATGCCGATGATGGTGAGTGATCGTGCGATGGTGATGGTGATGCTGATGGTGATGATGATGATGATGATGAGTGGGGAGTGATGGTGATGGTGATGATGATGCGGAGGAGGAAGCAAAGAGGAGCAGAGGAGAGGGAGGAGGACGAGAGATCCTGCGCGGAGGGTGTGCAGAGAAAACAAGAACCCCACTTAGGATGGTGGGAAAAAAGCATCATGAGGCCAGCGTAGGGCCTCTTGTAGGAAACCTGCAACTCCCCCAGGGCAAAGGCAAGGCCCACCACATTTTTACAGTCACTAAAGACAGACGACGGGCCCGTGACTTCTATCCCCGCTTTGGCCAGGGCCGCGAACTCTCCACATTGGGGAGTCTGAAGGAATTGAGCATACACAGGGGCGTGCATCGTGCACCGTTCGTGGCCAGCGTCGTCGACTAAAACAAGACCGTGCCCAGCCCTCGAGAGCTCGGAGACTTGGTGCCTGAAACAACACCCATCAACGAATATAAAACCGCTGAAACTGCCATCGTCGGGGGGGGGGCCGTGTCAGACCTGGGCCGCCTGGGCCCCAGAGCTCTCGCCCGCAGGCCTAGGGAAAACGCCCCCAGGGTGGGGAAACAAACCTTTGCCGAACAGGAGGTCGGTGAGGGGGTCTGACGGATCCGCCGCGTCAGCGGCTTCGAGAACATCTCGGTCGATCAACTCCGATCGCGTCGAATCGAAATCAGGGCAACGCCAGAGCCTGTGAAAAGGCGTGTCACCGTGCTGCCCGCACGTCGCACAGCGATCGTCCGCCAGCTGGTAACCCGCTTTTATCGCTCTGCTGTTGGTCCAGAGAGCGTCACGCGTGAGGCTTCTAAGGCACCCTCTCTCGAGGGCCGAAAACCGTTTCGATCGGAGCTGATTGCAAACGATATCGTAGCACAACCGATCGCATGGCAGGCGAAGCTTAGCACAGGGCTCGCGTTCGAGCTGTCGAAGCACAGCGGCCCTGAGGAGACACTTGAGCAGCGCGGGCGAGACCGTCGTCAGCGAGCTAACGATAGTCTCATAGCTGACAACGGTCCGCACACCTGTCGCCAGGTGGGCATCTTACTGTTAAAAACCTGCTCCCAGACTTGCCTCAGCACAGGAAGCGGTAAAGCATGGGCGTAGGAGTGGGTCTGGGATGCCCGCGCCTCTTTTCTGTATCTGATGATGGGGGACGCACCGGCAATCCAGGTTGGGTCTTCGTTAAGGAGGAGGGTGGAGGTGAGCGAACGGCCCCCAGCCCTGGGGCGCAAAACTTTGCCCGCTTCCCTCCGGATTTTACCAAGCTCGAAATCAAAGATTCCGTGAACCTCCGCACCGTAGAGGACCCCAGGGAGAGCACCAGACATCCAAATCCTCTTGCTGTACTTTCCCAGACTACAAGACATACGGACCAGCTTTTTGGTGGTGGCTTTGAGGTGAGACACTCTGGGCTTAAATTTGGGGCTCCCTTTAGCGGCCCTCCTGGGCCTGCCTGCGGTATCGTCGATGTCCAGGTTGACAGCGCTGTCCGTGGGTCTGCCCGCGAGAGGCCCTAAAAAGTCAATCAACTGCTTCCTGACTTCTTTGCTGTAAGTCACGAAAGCGGCCTTGTCGCGCGATATGTCGCATCCCATCTCGTCTACTATGGCCTTGTGCAGGCAAGATGAGGCAACCTTCAAGTTGCTGACCACCTGCGCGACGGTGCCCGTGCTAGAAACTCCACTATCATCGATATACTGGTCGAGCTGCGTGCAGGGGGGGGGGGGAACTCGATTTTGTCGAAACTCTCGATACAGTAAACTTTGACGTGCGACGTGGCGAAACTGCACCCCGCGATGACCCCCCTCACCGCGTAGAAGGGCCCCGACACATAGTTACCCATTCACATGAACCTAGCTCCGCGGTGCGCCGCAATCGATCGCCTATACAGCACAGGAGGAAACTGAAACCGCTGACAGTGTAATTTTAACCGTTCCAGAGAGATGCCTTCGTTGAACTTCGTCATGTCCCAAAGCAAAGTCTCCGAACACAAGCCTATGGAGTTAGCGGTCTCGGATTTCAGCATTTGCCTCCAGACCACGTCCGCGGCGGAGGCGAACGATTGGCCAGCAAAGTCGGGCCGAGAAACAGCGACCTCCCACTGTTGGGCGTAAGTGCGACGGCATCTTCCCGGCAGACGGTAGACGGAGCAGAAGAACCCAATCGGCCTCCCGCCGCCGTTGGGTTTCATGGATAAAATCACCTGAGTGAGCTGGACTTGCAACGGCAGGCGCGACATGGACTCCATTCTGCTGATCATCATGGAAACCACCTGTAAACGCTGGTCAGGCATCCACGAGTAGTGCCTCATATGGAATCCGTCCATCGCGCACGCCGTTCGGGTCGAGTATTTCCTAGAGGCCTTTCTCAAGAAATCAACTTCGAGCGGCGGGAGGCGCTCGAAAACCGTCGGGCGGTCCCTCTCGTCAGGCCTGGGTTCGGCCTCCCAAATTTTAGAGAACAGCGACGCTTGGTTTTTGAGGAGGGCCAAGGGGTCCGAAAACACGATCCCAGCCGAAGACAGGGCGGCGGGCGCCTTCCAGCCCGCCGCGGGCTTTCTGGCCAAATGCGCGTTGCGACCCCCTTTTCGATGTTCTTTAACAGCCACTCCTTCCAGGATCTAGAAGCCTGGCTCCTGGCACGATTCTGCTCCGCCTCCAGCGCCTGGTCCAAGTCAGTAAGCAAATCGGAATCGAGGGCCTCGTCGGCCTCGTCGTCGACCTCCGTGCTGCGGGGGTCGTCGTAGCCGACGGCGCAGGACGTGTCCTGCCTAAACATGGCGTCGGCTCTGACAGTCGCGCCGTTCCGGGCAATATTTTCGGAAGCTGTGTGCGGCAAACAGTGGGGACGAGAAACGCCGACCCTCTGTTGGCATCTGAGAAGCAATTCAGAGTGCGGGCCCAGAAATTTAACCAGGTCCCCAGGAGGGTCGCCAATTAAACGAGCGCGCTGGTGGGCCTCTGGGAAACCAAACTTGGTGCTTCTCCACTGTCTGGAGGTGCTCGTCGGCCATTTGATCCCAAAGAGCTCAGGGTGCTTGCGCCCCTGGGGGGGAATCGCGAAACACAGAGGCCCATTTCAACTTGGGCCTGCGCCCGCGCGCCCCGTACCCAGGCAACTTAGAATGAGCAACCTTGGCCGCCTCATACTCAGCCAACTTCCCCCAGAGGCGGCCGAGGCGAGACAACTTTTCCTGGAATCCATCGGACGAGGTCCCAGGAACCAGCTCGCTCATGATTTTGCCTCCCAGCCCGAGAGCGCGTTTCCCGGGGGGGGGGGGCCCTCGGGGGCCCTATGGGACGCTCAGGGGTGATGGTGGTGGTGGTGGTGGTGGTGGTGGTGGTGGTGGTGGTGGTGGTGTGTGTGTGTGTGTGTGTGTGTGTGTGTGTGTGTGTGTGTGTGTGTGTGTGTGTGTGTGGTGTGTGTGTGTGTGTGTGTGTGTGTGTGTGTGTGTGTGTGGTGGTGTGTGTGTGTGTGTGTGTGTGTGTGTGTGTGTGTGTGTGTGTGTGTGTGTGTGGTGTGTGTGTGTGTGTGTGTGTGTGTGTGTGTGTGTGTGGTGTGTGGGGGGGCGGGTTGTCGAACGCCAAAGCCTGCAGGGGGGCCGCGCGCTCGTGCAGCTCGGGTTGGACAGGCAAATGCGGCGTGATGTTCGAACCTCTTTGGACCGAGACATCCTTGGCAGCCTTGGCGAGGCCCTTCGAGGCCACGAACAAACCGATCAACTTCATCCCGCCCGTGGTGGAGCAGGTGCCGTCGCATGACGGAGAGATGATCTGTTCCGATAAACGTTCAGGAAAACCGTTTTTTTTTTTTTTTTTTTTTTTTTTTTTTTTTTTTTTTTTTTTTTTTTTTTTTTTTTTTTTTTTTTTTTTTTTTTTTTTTTTTTTTTTTGTTTTTTTTTTCTTTTTTCTCTACAGGGCTCATATTGAAATCACCTCCCGCCAACATTTCAGGCGCATGGATGTCCTGGGGGCTGCCGACCGCGCCCAAGATATGCAAGTTACGATTGGTGAGGCCCTCGGAGCAATACAAGTGCACCGAGACTAAAAGAACCTGAAGAGCTTCATCCCCAGGAAGATGAATGATGCCCGCGACCGCCCTGGACGGGGCAACTTCTGAGCTGAGGTTGGGCAAGGGGTGCGAGCCGAGGAACTCGCGACCAAGCGCAGCAACGCCGCCTAAGCTGCCCTCGCCCTCGCCTGGATGAGCAGGAAAGAAAATCCCCTTCCAACCGTTGCGCAGGCGCCAGGCCTCCGCAGCTTTACGCGGCTCGCTGGGCACCAGATGGTGTTCTTGGGCGGCATGGGCCTGGGCCCCCGGGAGCCATTCCTTGCGCGACCCCCGCGACGTGGCGTTGCAAGTTTCAAACTTTAAACAAAACTGATCCTTGGACGGGGAGTCGGGCACCTGGAAGAAATCAAAATTGGACCCGACGCCAACCCGGTCAGCAACTAAACTGTCGCTGATCTCAAAATCTCGGCCTGCAGGGGGCCCGTCCATGGAAGGTGAGAGCTTGGGAAGGTAGTGCTGGGGCTCTTGGCCCCCCCGCCGCCTCCTCCTCCAGAAGAAGCAAACTGCCTGCCACTAGGCGGCGGGGGGCTGAACATTGCCCTGTCCAGGCGGGGCCAGCGGTGTGCAGAGCGCTCGATCGGCGCGCAGGCGCACGTCACTACTGCCTGAAGCCGCTGCTGTAGTTGCCGTAGGCGCCGTCGTTGGAGGGGCATTCGCCGCTGTGCCCGTTCCTGGCGCCCCAAGGGCATGATCTCCTGGTAGATCGGGTTGGCTACGGCCCGATCCTCCAGCTTCCGCCTCAGCACTTGATTCGACCTTGCACCGACTGCTGGACCTTGGCGAACAACTGTTTGGTGATGTCCGCCAGCTGACCTTCGAGCAAGGACTTGGGTTTGTTGAACTCTTCCAGATCGGTGTCCGACCACGCAGGTTCGCCGTCCAAGCCGAGAGCTCCTTCACCGTAGTCTATGGCGATGGCCCCCTCCTTGCCGTCCAATATGTCTCGCAAGCACAGAGCCCGCTGCGCAGGAGCAGGAGTGGGAGCCACCACCTCGTGATGGAGCTGGTCCACCAGCCTCTTGTGCTCCTTATCCGCCTCGTCCAGGTCGATCTTGAGCTTCTTGGCTGCCTCGACGCAGTCCGAGCACCATGTGCGCGCCCGTTCGATGTCTGACAACTCTTCGTTGAGCTTGGTCTCAAGGGGCTTGACTCGAACGCGGGCCTGTTCTGCCTGCTTCTCCAGTGGCTTGGCTGGAGTGGGCTTCTCGCTGGCGGACCTCTTGGCGATCCATCTACGGTGGTGCGCCGCCGCGGCGGTGTCACCGAGCTTCTCCGCCAGCTGGAGCAGCTGCTGGACGTCCTCTTTGCTGGCCGACTCGGGCACCGCCACGGGCGGCGGGGACGCTCGGGGGGGTCCCCGCTGCCATTCCCCCGCGGGGTGGGGCCGCTTCAGCAAGCTGCACGTCCACACGCTCCACTCTTGCAGTGCTTGCAGTACCAGAAACTGAGCAGGTTCTTAGCGCTGCCGCAATCTGAGTAGCTGCACTTCCACATCTTGCGATTGCCGTTCGTCCCGTTGCGCAGCCAGCGCTCACGGTTGGCCTCCAGCGGCGCGAGCTTGGGAGGCGGCACCATCGCGGGCACTGCAGAGGAGGAATGACTGCCGAGTCGCCTCTCGCGACACGAGGAAACTTACACGCCAAAAACTCCCGAACCTGCCGCACGGCTGCGGACAAGCTCGAAGCCTCGCGGCAAGGTTTCGAAGTTGAGCCAAAATGGCTACGGACTCTGAAAAATCGTTTCCCTAGGGCCAGTGTCAGGGAGGGCGCCAGGCTGCCCTGGACTTTATGTTTCGAGGCCGCCCCGAGGAACACTTAGTCGTAAAATGAACCTTTTTGGGTGTATGTCGCGGTCGCGTTTCCCCGGCCTCCCGCGCCAGTTTGGGGGGGCGGCCCCGGGGGGGGGGTCCGATGCCAGCCACATGCAACCCGTAGCACCTGTGGCCCAAATGACGGCGCCAGAACCAGCTCAGGAATCGATTTTTCGCGCTCCGACCACTTGTTTTTTCGGACCCGCCCGAACCGCCGGGGCCAGGTCCCCCCTCGAGCGACCCCCAACTCCTGAGCACACCGGAATCGATTTTTCGAGCTCGAAAAAATCGCATTCCCGGGGCCAGTGTCATGGAGGGCGCCAAACCGCTCTGGACTATATGTTTCGAGGTCGCCCCAAGGAAAACCCAGTCGTGAACTGAACTTTTTTTTGTGTGTGTGTGTGTGTGTGTGTGTGTGTCGCGGTCGCGTTTCCCCAGTCTCCCGCGGCGGTTCGGGGGGGGGCGGCCCCGGGGGTCCGGTCCGATGCCAGTTCGGGAGCCCCAAACGCAACGTGCAGCACCTGCGGACCAAACGACGTCAGCAGAAACAGCTCGGACACGAAATCGATTTTCCGTGCCCCAGCAAATTGTTCCCAACCAGCCTGTGTTGTTGGGTCCTCGTTTTGAAGAGACGGTCCCCGCGTTCCTCCTCCTCCTCCTCCTCCTCCTCCTCCTCCTCCTCCCTCCTCCTCCCCCTCCTCCCTCCTCCCCCTCTTCCCTGCGTTTCACCCACCTAATGCAGCGTTTCGTAGCCCCATAGGGAGCTCCACCGAAGGCCCCAATGCCACCGTACACATGCGTCCCCCCCACTCGGTACAGCGTTTCGTGGCCCCATAGGGAGCTCCACCGAAGGCCCCAGTGCCACCGTCCACATGCGTCCCCCCTACTCGGTACAGCGTTTCGTGGCCCCATAGGGAGCTCCACCGAAGGCCCCAATGCCACCGTCCACATGCGTCCCCCCCACTCAGTACAACATCTCGTGGCCCCATAGGGAGGGAGCTCCACCGAAGGCCCCAGTGCCACCGTCTACATGCGCCCCCCCCACTCAGTACAGCGTTTCGTGGCCCCATAGGGAGCTCCACCGAAGGCCCCAGTGCCACCGTCCACATGCGTCCCCCCACGCAGTACATCGCTTCGTGGCCCCATAGGGAGCTCCACCGAAGGCCCCAGTGCCACCGTCCACATGCGTCCCCCCACTCAGTACAGCGTTTCGTGGCCCCATAGGGAGCTCCACCGAAGGCCCCAGTGCCACCGTCCACATGCGTCCCCCCACTCAGTACAGCGTTTCGTGGCCCCATAGGGAGCTCCACCGAAGGCCCCAGTGCCACCGTCCACATGGACCCCCCCCACTCAGTACAGCGTTTGGTGGCCCCATAAGGGAGCTCCACCGAAGGCCCCAGTGCCACCGTCCACATGCGCCCCCCCGCTCAGTACAGCGTTTCGTGGCCCCATAGGGAGCTCCACCGAAGGCCCCAGTGCCACCGTCCACATGCGTCCGTCCCACTCAGTACAGCGTTTCGTGGCCCCATAGGGAGCTCCACCGAAGGCCCCAGTGCCACCGTCCACATGCACCCCACCCACTCAATACAGCGCTTCGTGGCCCCATAAGGAAGCTCCACCGAAGGCCCCAGTGCCACCGTCCACATGCGTCCCCCCCAGTGAGTACAGCGTTTCGTGGCCCCATAGGGAGCTCCACCGAAGGCCCCAGTGGGACCGTCCGAGTGCGTCCTGAAACACCCGATTTGGCATTTTCACCCACCCAGGTACAACGCTTCGTGGCCCCACAGGGAGCTCCACCGAAGGCCCCAGTGCCACCGTCCGCATGCGTCCCGCGCGCCCAGTGTGGCATTTTCACCCACCCAGGGCAGTGTTTCGTGGCCCCACGGGGAGCTCCACCGAAGCCCCCCAGTGGGACTGTCCACAAGCGTCCCGAAGTACCCATTGTGGCATTTCCACCCACCCAATCCAAAATTTCGTAGCCCCGTAGGGAACTCCACCGAAGGCCCCAGTGCCACCGTCTGCTTGCGTCCCGAAAACCCAACGTGGCATTTTTACGCACCCAATGCAGCGTTTCGTGGCCCTTTAGAGAGCTCCACCGAAGCCCCCAGTGTGACCGCCCGCATGCGCCCCGGAAGCCCAATTTGGCATTTTCACTTACCCAGTACAGCGTTTCGTGGCCCCATATGGAGTTCCACCGAAGCCTCCAGTGGGACCGTCCGCGTGCGCCCCGGAAACCAAATTTGGCATTTTCACCCACCCAGTACAGCGCTTCGTGGCCCAATATGGAGCTCCACCGAAGCCCCCAGTGGGACCGTCCGCATGCGTCCCGGAAACCTTACCTGACACACCACTCACCCAGAACAGCGTCCCCCCCCACCCAGTGCAGCGCTTCGTGGCCCCATAAGGAGTTTCACCGAAGAAGATTTTCACAATTGCGGTACCCACAACTGCATATGGTTGGGTCCTTCGCCAAAATAATTTTTCTCGGGCCCCTCCGAACTCTCCCTGGCAAGATCCCCCCCGAGCGGCACCCGAATCCTGAGCACACCGGAATCGATTTGTCGAGCTCCGAAAAATCGTTTTCCCGGTGCCAGTGTCAGGGAGGGCGCCAGGCCGCCCCGGACTTCATGTTTCGATGTCGCCCTGAGGAAAACTCAGTCGCAAACTGAACCATTTTGGGGGTGTGTCGGGGTCGCGTTCCCCCAGCCCTCTGCGCCAGTTCGGGGGGGGGGGGGGGCGGCCCCTTCGGGGCCCGCGCCAGTGTTGAGGGGCCCTGCACCCCGCAACACCTGCGGCAGAGATCCTGTTGGGGCTCTTGTCGCGGCCCCGGTCGGGGCTGGCCGCGGAGCCACGAGGCCGCAGCAGCGCGGCAGCAGCGCTGCAGCAACGCAGCGACGACGACCGCGCGGCGGCGGCGGCCTCGGGGGGCCGTTTCCGGACCCCAGGGCCGCGGAAGACAAGAATGGGAACTTCCACAGGGGAAGGGGTCGAGAAGTCCAGGGCTCCCTTCAGCGCCCGACGATGTCGGGTCCACCTTCCGCGCTCCTCATTATTCACTCCTCCCTCCTCCCTCCTCCGTCCTCACTGTCCTCCTCCCTCTCATCCTCTTCCTCCTCCTCCTTCTGTTCTCCTCCTCTGTTCAACGGGAAAAGCTAAGCGGAGTCGGATCGGTGCAAATCCGTTGGCAGAGGAGCTGCTGCTGAGGATAGTAACAGAGGGCTGAAGGATGAAGGACAACACGTAATGAGTGAGAAGGGCGGCGGGGAGGAGGAGGAAGAGGAGGAGGAGGAGGAGGAGGAGGAGGCAGCTCGAGGAGACACGGGGCAGAGGCACGAGGACCCGCAGAACGATAAGGGTGATAACAAAGAGGAGCGAGTGGCGGCGAAACCGAACCAACCGAAGCAACCGAAGCAACCGAAGCACCCGACGAGGAGGCGACGACGCAAGGGCCCCGCAGTGACCGAACCGACCGAACCGACCGATTCCATGCGACGGCGACGCAACCGAACCGACCTGTTTGCGGAACTCCAAGACGACCGTATCTGCATCGACTCGAACCGGCCGAACCGAACCGGCCGAACCGGCCCGGTCGGAGAAAACAAGCCGAATCGGCCGAACCGAAACGGGCGAACCGAACCGGCCGAACAGGACCGGTCTGCGACGCGAACCGAACCGGTCGAACCGAACTGGTCTGCCACGCGAGCCGAACCGGACGAACCGAACCAGGCGCGCATCGAACCGAGCCGAATCGAACCGAACCGCGGCTTCCATGACACTGTGACAAGGCAAAAACGAAGTGTCCTACCGAAGGGCTCCCACCTAAGGCTTCGTTCGAATCCGAGCGGCCATACCCCCATCCGCCCCCTGAAAAAATAGATGGGGTTGTCCTCCTCCTCCCGCTTTCGATTGGATCTGTGTAGTGGTCTCACTCTGCTGGGCCTCCCGGAAGCCCCGGAAAGAAGCGCGAGGTCTCGCCTGGGCATTCGCGGGGATCCCGCTCCGCTGGGCCTCCCATTAGCCCACGAACGGGGCGACAATTGCACAGTTGGCAGCCCCGCGGGGGAGCGCGAGGTCTCGTCAGGGCCAGCGCGGGAATCCCACTCCGCTGGGCCTGCCATGAGCCCACGAACGGGGAGACAGCTGCACAGTTGGCAGCCCCGCGGGGGAGCGCGAGTCTCTTCTAGATTTTGCATCTGCGCGGGGATCCCACTCCGCTGGGCCTGGCAGGCGCCCACGAACGTTATGACACTTGCGCAGTTGGCAGCTCCGCGAGGGAGCGCGAGGTCTCGTCAGGGCCAACGCGGGGATCCCACTCCGCTGGGGCCTCCCAGAAGCACGCGAACGGGGCGACTGGTGCACAGCTGGCAGCGCCCCCAGAGAGAGAGAGAGAGAGAAAGAGAAAGAGAGAGAGAGAGAGAGAGAGAGGGAGAGAGAGCGAGAGACTAGAGGCAGGAGGCCGACGGCACGAGAGACGCGGGAGGGGAGAAACCAATGCTCCACTCAAGACGAGTGCCCAGCACAGGCAAGGTGGGAACGAATCACGCAGCGCGCTGGCAGCGCGCCCGGCAGAGCGAATGCAGCCGTTGGACCACCCCAAAGCACTGGAAGAACCTTGCAGGGAGATGTTATGAGAGAGCGATGCAATGCTGTTTCTGTTCTGCCTTTCCGCATGGACGTCCGGTCGTCGAGACTGCTCAACTCGTGGCAGGAGTTGACGGCGGCGAAAACCGTTCGCGTCTCCTCATCTCCTCCTCTTATCCTCTACTGATCCTCTTTCCTCCGCGTCCGCACCTTTCACTTCTCATTCACATCCTCTTTCCAGCAGAGACCTCATGTGTGGTCCAGCCATTTTAGTATGTCGACGCGACGCTCTGCGCCTTCCCAAATCTAGGTTGTCGGGCCTCAGTTGCTTCAAGAAGGCTTGCTTCCAACAGCACCGAGATAATTCTAAGAGGTCCCATGAAGAGCCTAATACATGCCACTATGGCCCAAAGATGGCCCAAGAGTGCCTCAGGACGGCCCGCAGAAAGACCAGGTTGACCCCAACAAACGGTCTTGACGGCCCAGGAGGCTCCAACACTTGTCGAAAGGGTCTTAAAATGCTCCGAGAGAGGAGGCGTACAAGAAACCCCAACTGAAGGTCCAGCAAAACACAGACAAGTAAACAAACTGAAGACATGAGTCGAAAACCCAGCAATGTTCAAGGTGCTTCGCTTTTCCTCGCGTTTCTGCCGGATATTGCTTCTGGAAGGTTTCGGAAAGCCCCACGACGGCGCAAAGAAGTTCCTAATGCGGCCCCAAGGCGGCCCACATTGGTCCTGAAGAGCTCTCGAAGGTGCCCCAGGAAATCAAAACATCCCTAACCAAGGTTGGCCCAACAATACTGGACCCCTCAAGCGGACCAAAAACGCAAAGATAATACACATAATGGTCGACGTGAACCCTAGATGCTCCAAGCGGCGCACGAGAGGCACCCGCAAGGATTCCGATGCACACGCACAGAGAGTGAGAGAGAGAGAGAGAGAGAGAGAAAGAGAGACCGAGAGAGAGAGAGAGAGACCGTTAGAGAGAGAGAGAGAGAGATAGCTAGAGGCCTAGAGAGGACCTGAAGCATCAATCTGTTAAAACGATAAAGAATTCGTACCATTAGTACTCTTATCCGTACTACCAACTTCTACTCTCGGGAGGTGCTCGTCTCGGGAAGCTCCCGCTTTCAACAAAGAAAACCAAAGAGAGCCCCAAACCAGCTCAATAAGACGACCTGGAGAGCCCCAAGAAGGCCTCGAAGAGCTCCGCCAAGACCCCTCCACGCCCGCCGAAGAGGACCCCAAGAACATCCAGGAGAGCCACAGGAATACAACTGGCCGAAGAGGCCCCGAAGACCCAGGGCCTTGTAACACATCCCATGGCGGCTCCCAAACCGCGCCTCCGTGGCGCCCAGACGACCCACGATGGCCATAAAAGGGGTCCTCGGGATAGCTCCAGACGCCTCCGAGATAGTAGCACAGTTTCCAAGAACTCCCAGAAAAACAGGAGGGGCCTCGAGGGAGATCTCCAGAGGGTCCGAGAGAAAGAAAGAGAGAGAAGCCCCAAACGGCTATGAATGTTGACCAACATGGCGTGTTTTACCATTGGAGCATTTCCCGAGGCAAGCCCGGGAATACCCCAGACAATTCGCCACCCCAGGACGATCTTTACGAGGTCTAGGCGGTCCCCCTTTGGACCCTCCCTCGAGAAATTCGACCATCCACGATAATCCTAAGACCCTCACTCGAACATATCCGCAGATGTCACGGGGTGCCTTCAGAAGATGATGATGCTGATGCTGATGCTGATGCTGATGCTGATGCTGATGCTGATGCTGATGATGATGATGATGATGATGATGATGATGATGATGATGATGATGATAATGCTGAGGAGGAGGTGGAGAAGGAGAAGGAGGAAGAGGAGGACGAAGAGAGGAGGAAGGGAGAAGGAACGGAGGAGGAAGAGAGGAGAAGGAGAAGGAGGAGGATGAGGAAGACGAGGAGGAGGAGGAGGCCCAGCAGAAGGCCCAAAAGAGGCCCCGAGAAGGCCTTCAGCCCAACTGTCCATGCAATGCCAGAGCTAACTACCCTGGCACGTTGTACGAATGATCAAACTGACAATGGCCGTCACATGTGTTGGGCTATATTTTTGCGGCAGCGATCAACACCCTCCAATAAGCCACGCGCATCTCACACATGAGCTGGCACTGCGAATCGAATCGCATTGCCATTAAACTTGCGAGACACGACCAAAGGAGGATGACTGAAGACGAGGACGAGGAGAAGTGAAAACATCCAGACTGCGACACAGGTACAAGCCAAGGGGGTAATTTTTGGGCGTAGCCTTCCAAGCACAATCTGCAGTATGTGCTTGTCACTCCAAACGGATACACGTCGCTTCGCGAGGGCCACCGTTTCTGGGCCGTCTTGGGGTCTCTCAGGGCCGTCTGGGAGCCCTTTCTGGGGGCTCTCTGGGCTGTCTTTGGGATCTTTTGGGGCCGACTTGGGGCAGGCTGAGGGTCCCAATGGGCAGTCTTGAAGCCTTCTGGGGCCGCTCTTTGGGCCCTTCCTGTCAATCTTTGGGCGATCTTGGGGGCCTCTTGGGCCGCTTTGAAGGCAGAGAAGGCAGACTCCGACGACCAACAACTCAAAATATTCCTGATTTGTTTTGGTCTCTTGGGTGTTCTCTTGGAGCCGCGCAAGGGCGTCTTGCCCTGCCTTGGGAAGGTCTGGGAAGGAGCCGGGCCCGTGCCCGTCGCCGCCGCCCCGTTGCATGGATCGCATCGCATTGCAATTGCATCGCATCGCTTTGCAATTGCATTGCATTGCTTTGCATCGCTTCGCATTGTGTTGCGTTGCTTGGCGTTACTTTGCATCGCATTGCATTATGTCGCATTTCCCGCGCATCGCGGCCGTCCCGTTGTACGCCCTCGCTGCATGGCAATCCCATTGCAATGCAGTCGCACTGCATTGCATTGCATTGCATTGCATTGCATTGGATTGTAATCGCATTACAATGCATTTCGATCGCATTGCGCTGCATTGCTTTGCTTGCATCGCATTGCATTGCTTTGCATTGCTTTGCGTCGCTTCGCATGGCAATCGTATTGCTCTGCATGGCTCTGCACAGTTTTGCATGGCTTTGTATCGCATTGCTTTGTACTGCATTGAATTGCAAAGCTTTGTGTTGCACCACATAGGTTGCAACACATGGATTGCATCAAGTAGATTGCACAGCGGATTACCATGTTGATCCACGGATGTGGTGCAGCGCCCGAGGGGGGAGTAAAAGGAAATGCTCAACAATGCAATCATGCTTGACACATTTTTAAAATCGAGCCAAATCGAGGAACAAATGCAGGCAGAAAACGTTGCCGCTCAGCACGTTATCTCTAGACCTGGGTAAACGTAATGAACACACAGTGTCAAGCCCCCTCCAGCCCCTGGGGGGACAGCGCCGTATCTACTGAGACTTTTTCGACCCGGCTTCTTGGACTCCCAGGACCGCCCCAGATGGCTCCAAGGCGCTCCAACTCGGCCCCAGTCCTGGCCTTGTGCCACACACACAGAGCACGAAACGACCTGGCAGGAGCACTAAACAACTTGGCCCCAGGATGGCCCTGGCAGATTTCTTCATACTTCTTTTATGCGTGCGTAGGACATGCATCACCGGTGAATAATGATGTGGCCGCACATCGTGGGGTTCTGAATGCACCAGTCGAAAGTTGTCGTAGTGGTCGTCGTCGTCGTCGTGGGGTGCCAAAACTGGAACTCTTCGTCCCACTGTGCCAACTCTTCCAAGATTAGTCGATCGTCTGGAATGCCGCCAAATCCAGAGCCGAAGTTCGCACCAGTTGCGTGCCAACCTTTGGAGGACAGAAGGGACGAAAGGAAGGATGTGTTGGTTCCATACCTGCTGTAGAGCTCCAGAAGGTTCAAAAGCCGGTAATAGTTCTCCCAGCTCTCAACCCGCAATTCGAATGGGCGAACAACGTCTTTGGCTCCTGCATGCGTGGTGGAAATCAGCATACCGCCGTTCTCGGTAGTCCCAAAAATGTCTACACCTGGGTCAGAATCTGGTTGCCTGGCGGCAACTTGATGTTGCATTGTGCCGCCAGCTAAAGAGATGAACTTTTTCGGATTGCCGAACCTGCTGCCCCATGCCATGCGGGGGATGTTAGCCGTTGAGCTAAATGTGATGAGGCGCTTGTCGAATCCACCTGAATCCTGATGTTTCTTGACCATCACGCGGTGCATCAATACGTCTGGTGGCAGCAGGCCCTCCGCCTTCATTTCTCGTACCGATGATATGAGACCAATCTTGGGCTTTGTGCATCGCGCCCCGCCGCCATCGCTGTGGACCTGCACCGAAAAGAACATCCCATTTTTGAACTTGGCTGAAACCATCCCGAGATTATCGACCGGCTGAACCATGCGTGTTCCGAATGTTGACATCGTCATGGTCCCAACTTTCTCCTTCGCTTCGCACGGCTCCAACAAGCCGGCGCAGAAAGTGGAGCGCGCCCAACCGTTATGTCCAACTATCAAGACAGGCGTTGTCGGGAATCTCGCCAGATATGTGCGGAACCGCTGTATCTGCTGGAGGAGGCGTCCCCCGTCGTTTGGCTCCTGCTGCTGTTGCAGCTGCTCGGGACTGATCGGGACAGGGCCGCGTCGTTGCTGTGCCGTTCCCCGCTCTGTCGTCTCGTTCCCGCCCTGCTGAGACGCACTGTCCCATCCTCGACCCCAATTCGCTGTGCGGCCCTCCTGGGACTCGTAGGTGCCCCTAACGGCAACCACGAAGTTGTCCAAAGCGTGGCTGTCATTGAAGAAGGCGGTCCCGTAGCGGGAAGCCAATTTCCCCAAATACTCCCACTGACTCACGGGGTTCTTGCCAGGCATGTCCGATTCGCTGCCCACTTTCTCCCGCAACTCTTCCCGCACAATGACGGTGTGACCCTCAGGCCCGCCAGGCCCCAAATGTTGAGGGTCAAGGCCTTGTCTTTTGTATGCCGTGGCAAGCACCAGCATGCAAGTGGCCATAGCACGCTGCAGGGGGGAGACGAGAACCAGCTGGGACCCCGTAATGCGCGCCAAGAGCTCAGGCTTGAGCTCCTCCACGCTCGTGACGGCGTCTGCCTCTCCCTCCCGCGTCAACTGGCCATCCTTCCACGCGTAGCGCGCCGAACCGATATACTCTCGAAGGAATGCAAGCTTACTCCTTTGGGCAAGGTTGCCCGCCGACTCGCCATGCCGGATGAAGGTCACATCGGTCTCCACCTTCTGCTGCACCACGCTGAACCTTCTGACCTCTCGAGCGCCACCAGTTTCCAAGACATGTCGCGCCAGGATGAGGCTCAGGAAGCGCATATGGTGGCCGCAGCCGAGCAAATAGTAGGTCATTGTGAAGACAACAAGCGCTTGGAGCGGAGCTCCTGTTTTCGGATCAGCACGATTCGAGCCAAGTGGCTACAGGAGCTTCTCCCTCAATGGCCCGCCAATTCCACATCATTGCCTCTCCCCGAATCTTTGTTTATTTGCCTTCCCTGGACACGGTGCTTTCCCCTTAACAGCTGAACATGATGATGGGGATTGGGTTTCCCTTGATCTAGTTCAGTTGCTTGTTTTTGTTGTTCTCAATCTTTCTCTCTCACCCCCCCTTCATTAGCTATCGCTACTTCCCGCATGTTCCCCAGCCCTGTATCCCGCCCATCAGAACTGAGCATTGTATCTTCCTGAACCTTCGCCGACCCCCTGGACATCAGCGTGAGAGACACGTGCCCTTCACCCAGACCACTCCTCTCTGGGGACGGGGCGCATCTCGCGATTACAGCTGGTGGGGGGGAGAGTGCCTACAGTCGGGCTCCCGAAACAGGGAACGCCAAAGAAGGAACGAAGACCCCTATCAGCTCTAAAAGCGCCTGGGTACAAGAGGAAGGCTAGAGGAGCAGACCACGGAAGGACCTGAGGAACATCGGCCCCATCCGAACCCAAAGCGGCCCTCACTTCAGCGTCTTGGCTGGAAATCATCGCCTGGGAGGCCTGGGCGAATGAGGGGGAGCCCTTCGCCCTTGGAGCTTCGGGCCCGGACAGACGCAAGCCCGCGACAGCCCCATGGGACAACGTTCCGCTCGGGCTCCTCAAGAGGGCCACGGGAGGCGGTCAGGACAGGACCAGGACCATGCCCTCAGGAAATTTCCGAGGCCCAAAGTACCCAAAGGCGCACGAGACTCCAGGCCGGACCCTGGGAGCACCGAGGTGAAATCCGAGACGACACACAAAACATTGGAACCAACAAGTCTCGTCACATCCACAATTCGGTTTTTGTTCCGTAAACAGCCTCTCTGTCAAGCTCCTACATGATGTCTCTCAGAGATCGAATGCGGGAATCGCCGGACCTGGAATCGGTGGGGCGTCATTGTCTCTGGTTGTCTCCCGCAGACTCCCATTGTCTCCCGTTTTCTTCCTATCCCGATCCCCCGATCCCTAGCCATCTCTTCCCCTCCCTATCCCTCCCATCCCTATCCTATATTTTGGTAGCCATCCCCATAACGATTTGATCTCTGTATATCCACAATCCTGTATCGCTACCCCGACTGTCTCCTGTTGTCTCGCGTTGCTTCCCGTTTTCTCCCTATCCCTAACCCTCCATCCCTATTTCCATCGCTTTCATCCTCCCTATCCTTACCCCTACATCTCAATTCCTCTATCCGTAGCCCTATATCCTTACTCCTACCCCTTCTCCCATGAGTTTTAATATACATCTTATTCCTCGTGAACTTCGTATTAATATAGTTGTCGCATCAACATCAAGACTAGAACTAACCCAAAGGCTTATACTCCTTCATCAGCTAATACCAATATACGTACAAGAAAACGCCAAGTCTAACATCTGGTGCTAGTCCGGGTCTTCGTATAAGATCTATGCATACTAGTACGTGTTCCATTCCCGAAACGAACTGTCTGTGAGGGTCCTACATCATGCTTCTGAGCAGCCGAATACGGGGATAGCCGCATCCGGGATCGGTCGGGCGCCGTGGTCTCCCGTGGTCTCCCATTGCCTCTCTCTCTGGCCAATGTTGAAAACTCTTTAGGGTCTTCTGCCGCAAGGGTTCAATTTTCCCAAGACTCCCCGCGAAGACCTCAGAAGCATAACCTCATAACATCTCACATCACTCAGGTTATCACTTTCATCTGCGCCCTCACTCATATCAACATCGCTCTTCTGGGGCCCACCTCTTCGCCCCCATCATCATCTTCATTGTCAAACTCCGCTGCGCTCTCACCGTCATCACTCTCATCCTCGTCGTCTCCTCTCTCTGCATCTTCGGCATTGTTGTCAGTACGCTTACCCCCGCTTTTCCTTTCACTCGAACTGTCAGCCTCGTCCTCGCTCTCATCCCCGCCTCCCTCACCTACTCCATCTTCGTTGTCAGAGCATCTGCCCCCGTCCAGTCCGACTAACACTATTTACGTGCAGCGGGCATCCCGCTTTCCCAGAGGGAGGCTCGAATGCGAACGGCTATCCGCAAGCGGTGTAACCACACAAATGGGATTTCTCCCGAAGGGCTCCTGCCTGAGCTTCGAATCCGAGCGGCCATCGCCCCCTCCCCCCTCCCTTGTAAACACGGGTGGAATTGTCCTCCCACTCCCTGTGGACCTCCAACTCCACCTAAAGGGCTCCCACCGCAGGGTTGGAAATTCCTTTCCTGCGGTCAAGCCCACAAACGCTCGACTTTTCCGAGCGGCTGTAGGCCTTGCTGCCCAGCTAGTGAAAGCACATGTGGAGTGGACCTTCAGCTATCCGTGCTTCTTTGGCCCTCCCTGGGGCTTCCCCCCCAAGGGCTCTCACCCAAGGGTTGGACTTGCAACTCTCCCCAGCGGGGGTTCGGCTCCGGGCGGCTATTTGCACACATGAGAGAGTGCGCCCGTGGTACACTCCCAAAAAAAGAGGGGCCCCTCCTTATCTACCCCCCCCTTGCACCTGCCCCGCTGGACCGCCCCCCCCCCCCTCCTGTTTTCCTTTTCCCGCCCCTCGAAAGCTACCCCCCCCTCGCCTTTCGCGCTCCAGAAGCTCTCCCCCCCCTCCTTCACCAAAGAGGGGGGGGGCCCCTCCCTGGACCTCTCCACTCGGAAGCCCCCCGCCCCCTCCTTTTTCCGCCCCTCGGAAACTACCCCCCTCCCCCGTTTTCGCGCTCCGGAAGCTACCCCCGCCCTCCTTTCCGAACGGGGCGGGAACTTAGCTACCCCCCCTGTGAACCTCGCGAGCGTGAAGCTCCCGCCCCCTTCCCCCCTTTGTGGCCAAAGAGGGCGAAGAGAGCGCCGAAAACAAAAGGGCCACAAAAATACGAAAGGGTCCGAAAGCGCGCCGAAAACCGAACGTGCACCGACAACCAACAGAACCGCCGAACATCGAAGGAACGCCGAAAACCAAATGGTCGCCGACAACCGGAAGGAAACAGACATCGAAAGAAACGCCGAAAACCAAAAGAGCGCCGAAAAGCTAAGGAACGCAGAAAACAAAACGGCGCCGAAAACCCAAAGAACACCACAAACCAAAGAGGCGCCGAAAGCCCGCGAAAGGCTTCGAAAACCAGCAGGGCCGTGAAAACCAAAGATGCGCCAATAACCAAAAGAGCGCCGAAAACCAGAGCAGCGCAGCGAAAAACAAAGAGTGCCGAAACCGAGAAGGGCGCCGAAAACCAATGGGTCGCTGAACTTGAAAAAGGACACCGAAAACAAAAGGGGCGCAGAAAACCAATGCGGCGCCGACACTAAAAGTGTCGCCACACACCAAACATACCAACGAAACTTACACCAATGCCGAAAACCAAAAAAAGTTCAAACAACCGAAAGTGCGCCGAAAACCGAAGGAGTGCCGAAAACCAGACAGGCGCCGAAAACCACCAGGGCGCCGAGAACCAAAGACGCGCCGAACACTGATGGAACACCGAAAACTATAAGAGCGCCGAACAGGAGGACGAACACCAACAAAAATGCCGAGCACAAAAAGAAACGCCGCCAAACCAAACATGCGCCAGAGACTTTTTCTTTCGCAGCGTGACGCCGGCGATCCGCGCGCGCGTCAGGGCAAGACCGGGACACGGCATCGCGAATTAGCCCGCGTGCAGGAGGAGGGGGGAGGGGGGGCGGCTGCGGAGAAGGGGGCAGGGCGCGGGGCACACTCGCGCAGCAAGGCTGCGGCGGGTGCACGGGCGCGGCCGGGCTGAAAGGTAGCCCCTGGCAGCGGCCGCTGTTCGGCGTCGCAGTGCGCCCAGGGAGGGCAGCAGGCGCAGCGCGGGCAGGGCCCAACAGTTGGGGAGCGGAAGCAGCAAGCGACCGGAGGGCCGGGGCGCCGGCGGGGGGGGGGGCGGCGGCGTGGGGGCTGGCGGCGGCCAGTGGGAATGCGCTGGCGCTGCGGCAGCTGCGAGGAGCCCGAGGTTGCGGGTGGCGGAGCAGGTCGGCGGCAAGGCTGCGTCGCGACTGGCCCGCCCGTCGCAAGGCGGGGCGCTGAGGCCAGCAGCGATCGGGGAGAGGGGCAAAGCGGGAAGTGAGCCGCAGTGGCGGGGGCCCCCAAGTGTAGCGGCACGCGCTGCCGACAGGGGCGTGGCCCCTGCGAGGGGCGGGGGGCGCGGGCGGCATCGCCAGCGATGAAGGCCCACTGCGCGGCTTGCTCGGCGAGGGGCAGGGCCCAGGCAGGAGGGGGGGCAAGCCGCGGGGGGGCAGCGAGGCAGGAGGGAGGGGCGCCGAGGCACCACTACGCACTGCCTAGGATGGACAATGCACGGGGGTCCGAGCGGCGGTCGCGCGGCCATTCATTTTAAGAAAGCAAATTTTTACGCCGAGCATTGGCATATGAACTTCGTTCCGAGAGCAGCTCAGCTCTCTAGAGCCAGTATTAGTATTAGTTCACTTCCGGGAGCCGACTTTATGTTGACACCGAAAAATGTGAATTTGACGTTTTTCTAAAAATGCTCCGAGAAGCTTTCCGCTTCGATTGGCAGGAATGCACCTAGCAGGCGCTCGCTGGTAAAAAACCACTGCGCGGCGCCCTCCTGGGTTGGAAGGAGGGCGACGTCGTCGGCGGAGCCAGGACTGGCGCGCAAACTGGTGGAAAAAAAAGCAGCAGCCCTCCGAGACCCGCCGCGGTCATCGCTGAAGCCAAGTAGACGGTGCGCCTAACTTTGCGCGCAGACTGGAGACTGGTGGGGACGTCACGCGTGCCACCTGGATTGGGCGACCGCGCGCCGTCCCAGCGGGGGCCTCCTGGGTTGGAAGGCCCGCCGCGGCCATCGCCGTGGCGAAGTAAACGGAGGCATCTAACTGGTGCGCTGACTGTTGGATAATGCGCGTGGGCCGCCTGGGTTGGGCGCCCGCCTTCTGCTGCGAGGCTGGGGGGCCAGCGGTGCTCTCGCGATCGTCCCGATGGCTGCAGGGCCTCTGGCAACCCAGAGCCCTCGCAGACGGGGCT